GCTGCACTTGTTTAGAAAGTTTGAGAAAACGCAGTAACAAGTAATGGACCATATCTTTTTTTTTTTTTTTTTTAATTGGCGTTTTTCATTGCCAAGATCGGTAATCGCTATCTATGAAGATGGGTCTAGAGTAAGCACTTTTGTGCGTGCAAACGACCGTGTGAGTAAAATTTTCTCCTTTTTAAAAATTCTTGTTCGTGGGTCCAAAAATGCTTACGTCTGGACCCACCTTAAAAAGATGTGAAAGTGGCATCCGAAAGCTCAATCGTTCATGAAACTTCTACGAACTGGGTGTACAGAATCGTTTCAAGTTTCACGACATGAATATGGAGGCTATAAGGAAGGTCCTGATACTCATAAAATTTCGCTTGTTTATACAAAATTTTGAAAATATCAATAATAAATTTTAAAAAATTTGCAATTTTATGAATGTCAGGACCTTTGTCACAGCCTCCGTATTCACATTATCAAGTTTTAAACGATTCGGTACATGCAATTCCGAGAAATGTTTCATAAATGAGACCTCTATGACGCTCCTTTCACATCCTCTTAAGACCATAATCGATCCAGTGTGGATTGAATTTTATAAAATATGTCTATCACTTTGCAAAATTTACGTACCTTCTCGAAACTTTCCTTTCTGTATTTCATGTTTTCAATCGCAAAACAATATTTTCATTAAAAACGGCTGGCGCTGAGTTTTCTAATAAAATGTAGAAGATGAGGAAGTCCTCGTCAGGTAGGATGTAATCGTCTCCATGTAAATCTTTATTGCTTGTAATCGTTCCTTAAATAAGATTGCCGGGAGATGACAAGAAATGTCACACGATGCCAGGGAAAAGATAATTTGTTAAACCCTCGTAAATTCGTTCGCGAACATATGGAACGGCTACAAAAGCAGGGAACGATACTTCCCTGCCCTGCTATTGTTTCAGCCTCAAGTTGCACTTGTTAAAAAATAGAATAGTAAGGATACGTTTCTTCGGTCGAAGCGGGCAGGATTGAATTTCCTCAGAAAACGAGTGAAAATGAAAGCGAGGACGGTCGGAGAGACGAGAATAGAGACACAACGTTCGCCGGGCCATTAACGGCTCGCAGAGGGCGACACGTAGAAGAGAGTAATTACCGGGGCACCCAACACAGGCTCGCGAAATCGCATTCGCGGGTGGAGCCACGTTCGGCCATCGGGGATATGTGGTCGGTGGGGCATTTCGGCGCACCCAGCCCTCCGGAAATCTGGTTTCCGCGCACCGAGAGGGCACCCACCGAAAGTCGTGGCACTTCTCCAAATTTCCGCTCTCGCGTAAAATCCTCGACGGCGAGACGGCCGTCCCTATGGGGCGCGCACGGGCAAATGCAAGACCAAGAGACCAAGATCACGATAGTCTCGGTACCGGTCTTAGTCGTGCACGGTCGAGTCTCGGCTCGATTTTACAATTGTAGTCAGGTCTTGCTCATGGTTTTGCAAAAAGATCAAGACCAAAGCCAACACTGAAAAATCAAAGCCGAGTTGGCTCATCGCTCCCATTTAGTAACTAGTAAATGCAAGGCCATGGCCAAGATCGTGATAGTCTTGGTCTTGGTCTTGCAATTGTGACCAGGTTTTGCTCTTGGTCTTACAAAAAGAGCAAGACCATGACCAACGCTGAAAAGTCACGGTCAATTTTGCTCATCGCTCCCACCTAGGAATGAGCAAATGCGCGGCGGAGATCAACACCATGATAAAACATGGTCTTGGTCTTGCAATTAGGGGCAGGTCTTGCGTTTGTACTTTTCGCAAGGTCAAGACCGATTTTGCTCATCGCTAGCGTTCACGATTCTCCGGTTTTAGCGATCGAACTCTCGAAACGTTCGAGAGGGAAGAGATGTGGGGGCGATGCAGGCGCGATGCAGCTGCCGACAGGAGCATTCGCGGTATTTTTAGTCGGGCACGCGTCGCCGGAAACGTCCCGCGGGACCCGGCTTTTCGCCTCCCGAGGGAGTCTCACCTTGCTCTTCCCCTCCGTCCCGGAGCTTCCTTTTGTTAGCGGCAACTTCCTGCGGATCTCGCGAAACGTAGGAAGTTGCCCGAGATAACGTGGGTGGTCTCTTCACTGCTACGAATGCCGCGGCTCTGCCCAAGCGTTTGCTCCAATTCTCTGCTCGAGGCATTTATTGGAAAAGTAGGTGCTTCTCTTTATTAGCGGCTGATCGCATTCCGTTTTCTCCCTCCCTCTCTTTCATTTTCTCTCGTTTCCCGTTGCTTCGCGACGTCTGACTTACTATCGTCCGTTCCTAGACGGTTACGCAGTGGTAAACTTGAAGTTGACTTTTAACGTAACTTGATTTTAACGCTGGCATAGCATATTAACGCGTGGTAAGGCAAATTATCGCATATGAATACTTCAATAACCCGACCGTCACAATTGAACGGCTAGGGGAAGGTGATCACTTTTGAAATGACTAAATTGCGATCCGTTTTTGTTAAGCGATTAGCAATAGAGACAGGCCGTTTTGTGTTATATCTTCCGAATAACTTCTTCAGGTTACCCGCTCCATCTTTATGAGATTAAAAACGTACATTTTAATTGTTCTTCTTTTACTTTTGCCCCGCTGGATTAATAAAATACGACACCGTGCAACCTCTTATGCCCGGTTCCACCAACCTCGGTTAAATCATTGATTGCCTAACCGTAGATTAAAGTTAACATCCAAGGTAATCATGGGTTAAAGACATAAATGTTCCACTACATTTATTTAGAGCGCGATTACCCGATCGTATACTCAATTCGAAGTAAATTGAATTGTCGATGAACGCGTTCATATGATTGTTTGAAACTCTGATCGACTAGAAAGCAAAATAGATGCACCCTTGTCGATACCCGAAATCGCCCTAACTTCATGCAAGAAGTTTGACAGACGCCTAGCTTCAAGAAATAAGGTTCTTTGGTTAAGTATTAATAAAAAATATTTTCAAGTACACTTCGATCATTGAGAAATTGTAAATGAAATAAGAAAACGTCTTCATCCGTTTCGTCATAAGGTGTTAATACATATCATACTCAATACAATATCTATGTTATCCTCGCATTTGTGCAGTTTTTAGGTTGAAGTTCGATTAACTGAAACTAAACGATCTAATTTGGCTGGTTAATCTAAACGGCGGTTAATGGAAATCAACCTGCCGTTAAAACGTGGTGGAACGTGCAACTCGTAACCGAGGATTAACTGTTTGACCGAGGTTGGTGAAACCGGGCTTTGGAGTCCGATGACGTCCGGTGTTCCTCCCGGTTTGCCGCAATTCGCATAGTTGTGGGAGAGTTAGGTGATCTATACTTAGCCATTGAGTAGTATCACGGTCCGCTGCACTTTGCAGTAGCCACTGATAAGACGAGAGCAGAGAGGTCGGGTTTTTGGAAGCCGGCCAGTCGCCGACACGCGTTATTTCGTGCACGTCGAAGCCGAGCTTTTACTGGAGTCGTTTCCGCTCCGGAATCGGCGAGCCTCTCGGTGTAGGTGCGCGAAGGTCGCCGAAGTGCATTAACGTTGGAAAAAATCGTAACGCCCTGGTGGATGTCTTCTTTTTCCCCCTTTTCTCATGCGGAGTCGCGGGCGAGAACGTCTCGACGCTCTTTACGACCCCTCGAGAAAATTCGAGGGAGAGCAACTTGAACGGAGCGATCGCGGCGCGAGATATCAGGAATACTAAAATCGCTTAAACGTCCGTCTGCCAGATTGTATAAATGCGAGCCGATGTAGACGATGTAGGCAGGGACGTCGTGCAAATATCTGCTCTCGAAATAGACCCTGCCACTCCGACAGGTTTGACGGAAGCTCTAATTCGTCAGGCGAGGGAGATTCACCGGTTTCAATGAACGTGTTATTCCCACTGCCGCAATCGTCGGTATTACGTAGAATACTCATAATTTCATTTCATTTTTTTTCTTTCAATGGGGTTAATGAAACTAACATAAAATCGAAGAAATATAGTTTTCGCTCAAAAATACCGAATGTTTGACTTCGATGCATTGCAAAGATCGAAGACTTCATATCTAAAGATAATGAAGTAAAAATCGAAACTGTGTTTCATTTCTTTAATCCTGTGAAAAACAAAAATTTGAATATGACGTGAACATCACGTCTTGTTGAATTACACCGTGGTTTATCATGTGAAATAAGTGGTAATCCGGTTTCAAAGGAGTACCCCGCCTTGTCTGATTTCCAAGTGATCAACCCTTTGCAGTTATCGTTACACGAGGTATCTGAAAAATTTTAATCGCAGCCTCTTAATTGTTACAAACATAAGACGTTTAGAGGAAAAATCGTGTCCAGCATATACAATACATTGCATTATACTCGTATTTCCTGTATAACTCTCTTGAACATTACCATATTCTAGTAATTGCACATTGTCGCGGATGTTCCGAGCGAATAAACGAGCCCTAACGCATATTCTTTGTCTATTCCCTGCACCCATTGTTACGTTGTTCCATAAAGTCGCGGACAAATCTGTACAGGTTTAAAAATGTATTTTTTTTTCTTACAATGAAACGAGCCACGTATTAACTGATATATCCGGCATTGTTGATCCCTTCTTGCCACCTTCTCAACAGTGTCATTTAAGCATGCACTCCTCTCAGAATAAAATTCCCTGCAAAGAAGTTCGTCCGTGAATTCATAGAATAACTCAATATCTGCCCTTTTTTTTCTTTCCCTTACACATTTTATCTGCACGTTATCCTCGAAACATTTGTGCCGAAAGATTCCGCGACAATTTGGCCGCGTTTCGCCCTACAAAGGACAACTCCACTAGTAGGTTCGTTCCCCTTGGCTCGATTTTTTTTTTTTGCGCTCGTGGCTACGAGCCATTGTCGGCGCAAAGGTATCTCGCAAAGGAGTACTTTCATGGGATAACATCTCTGGCGTTACAAGGGCCGGAGAAAGATCAACCGCGACGGCGGGCGAAATAACGCGCGTTACGCGTTTTGTAATCTAATTAAATAGCTGATGTGTGTCCCCAGGGGAACATCGCGGAGGCGGTGCAACCGGAAACGCTCGGAGCAGCAGCGAAAGAGGACGCATTTCCGCTTATGGCGGAGGTGGCGATCACGCCGATAGCATGGACGATCCCTCCTCGAGGGAAGACATATCTGAAATGTACGTTCCCTCCGACCTAAGGCTGCCTTTTCTCGAAACCCTCGATTTATCGCGTGGCCCAAATTCGCGCGTATTTTTGTCCTCCCGGCTGGAAATCGCCGATTAATTGCTCGAGTAGATGCAGAGGGGATTAACGTTTACGAAGTGACGACGAAACCTCGAGGACTTGCCTTTAAAAGAACCGGTCGAATCTGAGAGGGAGATTTTTTGAAAGAGAAACGAAAATAATCATCCACTGCTTTGGTTTGTGAATTAAGTCATGGCTTAGAGGCAAGAAAAAAGGGAGGAGAAGAAGGTATTATTATTTATCAAATTTAAGGTCGTAAATGAAAGGTTTTCTTTAAATTAGAGATTTATTGTCGCATCATCTGCTAAGATCATTAGCGACATAAAATGAAATTTATGTTAATGTAAATGTAAGGAAACTTTTCATACCTTTCTTTTTAATGTACCAAAGGTTCAACTTATCTTATCTGTTGATATCTAATTTGAAAAAGACTGGAAAACCTGCTTTCGTACCCTTGAAATTTACCAAATTGTGGGCAGAAAAGGATTTATTCCTTTAAACTTCAGCAGATAAGAAAATCATCTGCATGCGTACATGAACTGAAGTGATGATTTGGATGATTTTCTTATTTTCTAAAGTTTCAAAGAATTCTATCTTTGTGCACCGAACTTTTTAAACTTTAAAATGATGAATGCAGGTTTTTCTGGAAAATAAGTGTAGGAAAATGATTCCAAATCTAACGTGCTTTTCATTTATAGTAAAAAATATATAAATAATAACCATGGACACCTTTAATCCGGTTATCGTAAAAAATGAGAAAGGAAAGATTGCATTGCCGTTGGAGATAGTTTCAATGACAGCAAGTTGGTAAATCTTTTCTCAGTTTACATGTTAACACTTTCTTCCAAAGTTGATTAGGCGTGCTGAACTTATAAGGCTTAACGATATTACCTCGCGCGAATATGGGCCACCCGATTTCAATTTAATACGTTTGAAACGTTTTTAAGTTGCCGTCGAGAAACTGCATTCTAAGGGGAAAAAGTCATATTCTCGTTATCTGCGCTCGATTTTAACTTGGGTTAAGTATCTTCTCTGAAAAGACGCGACTTTCAATATTCTCGTTATTCTCCTTCCTACGTCACGGAATAAGTACGAGGAAAATCTTTCAAAGAAGATTCAATTTCGCTAACCCCGTATTTTTCATTATTTTGCAGCATAAAAAACACAGGTCTATTTTTGTCTGGTTTATTTTCAGTATCGGTACATTCCGCATCAAGTTTGACACGAAATTAACGTTTGCTTACGACCGGAGTCGCACCGACTAATTAATTTATCGATCTCAATTGCATCGCAAAAATCGGCTGATATCCATCCTGGCGCTTTATGTCACTCAATACAAAAACGTCATTAATAACGTAAAAATTGTATGCACAGGTCATGTCTCGACAAGGCTCCTGAAAGTTGTTATTCCGATTTTATGAAATTTTCAACCGAAACGGTAATTTCGTCGATAATTAATTGAATGTGTATATGGGTTTATTGAAAATTGTTTTTTTTTTCTCCTGTTTTAATAATGAGGAATCGGACGAGATGTCGGCATTGCAACGACTGTTACGGAAGTCGGAGGGAAATCGGTTTTTCACGGTTTTCGGATCGACCTCGAGCGATCGTAAGAAGACGCGGCAGCAAATTAAATTTATTTCCGTATAGTATGATAAAGTCGTTTGTCGTGTCTGTCTCGGAAGCCCGCGAAGCGCGACCGCCGCAGTTTGCCCCTCAAGAACTCCAGAGATCGGTGCTTTTCTTGGCCGGTGCGATCCTTCGGTTCTCTACTTTGGGATTTTCTTCTCTGTCACATTGTAACTTCATTTGTCGAACCGCTAGTGACTTTACCAGAATCTATCGTAACGCTTATTTGGTGCTTCAAAAAAGAAAATCATAACAATATTTAACGAATAATGACATGCCTTTTTCTAAAACCGCGTAGAGAAGCATTTGTAACCGTATTGTATTTTATGGACCGAAATTATTCAATTTGCCCGTAATGACGGCACTAGTGGAATTACCTCCGACGGAATTGATACTTCTCGTCTGGTTCAGCATATCAATTTTCCATTGGTTCAGCCTCGCGATTTCTTAGAACTTTTATTCCGAATTCCCCTTATTGTCCGCCTTTATTTGCTTCGTTTAAAAATTAATATCCGCTTTCGTACCACGATTACTTAGGGTGCAGCAAAATATATCCAGTAAGCCAAAGACGTCGAACATAAACAGGTCTGAAAGTTACAAGGAGCACATGCACCAAAAGGTGAGTCGCCATTACTTGAAATACAGCGTTCGCATTAGAAATAGCAATTTTTTTTTTTTAACCCGAGAGTATACCTGACTTTCTTTTTACTCGGTATTTATAAACGTTTTTAACACGATATATTTACTTTTACGTGATTTTTTTAACACGCGTTGCTTTCCTTTTTTAATACGGTTCAAACACTTCTCTCTTTTTCTCGCAACTTTTAACGAGTTCTTTTTTTACACAATACCGTTTTAAAATAAACCCGCGGGTATTTCTCTCTTCGTTTTTTGAGTAAAACTTCTGATAGCACGATAGTACGCGTAAGTTCGCATACCATAAAAAGGGATCTATATCGGAAAATTAAATGCTTTGTTATTTTATTTATTTATTTTTTCTTTTACAGTTCATTACTATTTATATTCATATTTATGTTTTAATATTAGCACAATTTGTGTAAACGTTTTCGTTAGAGATATTTATCTTCAATTCGCTGCCTAAAAAGTCAATCAACATTTATGCTTCTGGCTTGAAGAAGTTGACATTAAAATCGGCGCTCATGCCTATCGGTATCTTATCCCAATTATTTCTTTTCACTCAAATACTATTTACATTCATCTTTGTGTTTTAGTATAGTCACGATATACGTAAATTTTATTTTTACGATTCTTTACCATTTCTATTCTATAATTGTTCATAAGTATCGACACAATCTGCATACGCATTCTCATTAGCATCCTTCAGTTAGTCATTAACATTTAACGTGAAATGACGAAATTCAAATAAAAAGGAAAAAAAAAATAATGCCCAAACCAACCAGTAGCTAACGCGTAAAGGCATTTCGTGAGAAAATAATTAAGACTAACGAATTTCTAATAATTCTTTTTAACATAGAGGTTTCACTTCCAACATGCGTCGCGGCCACGCGCCGATTTCCTCTATTCTTCTTTTCCAACTCCATATACCAGAGAAAGTAGTTTCGATTAATACTTCATAGCCCGATGCGAGCGCTATCAATTTGATATTCTCGTTTCTGATAGTAACATTGGCATGTCTATTGTGATTGCAGCCACAACTGCGAGAGAAGCGGAAGACTAGCGACCCGAATCTCTCCAAGACCAAGTAAGTAGCATAATCGTCGACTTATTTTGGCTTATAGTATAGCGAAGAGGTCCGCGATCTTGACTGCTCCGTCTTCGTTTGATCATCGATCGAGCAACGAACCCTTTATAGCCGAGCAATTATGACAACGTGACGAAATACGAGACGTGACTAGATTTTACTTATGTAGCTTTCCTTCGACTCCCCTTCCCCTCTTTCCAATTAAGGCTTAATATGCCCTCAGCCTGTACACAGATGAACATTGCCGTGTACATAGAGACGCGTACATAGAGTCCCTTCGACGATGCTGACACTCCAATTTGACCCCCTCCGCCACCCCTGCGGAATTTTCAAGCACCCATGTTGGCGCGCGAGTCGTGTCGAGTTGCATTTTCTTTCTCTTTTTCTTTCATCTTTTTTGGAAACGGCCTAAAAGGCTCTAACTCGAAAGGCCTTAAAAATACTGGGAACGTTCACGCCCCGAGTAATTAAGCTCAAGAACTCCGTGAACATGAAGAAAACATTAAATCCGACCCAAATGTACACATGTACAATACCGCGGTAGAGGAATATGGAATATTTCAAGTACAGTGTGCCTTAATTAATTTTCCTGATTGGATTGTACCGGAAGTAATGTTTCATTATATATTAATCTGTGGATTTAACAATCGTTAAAGTTTTCCATGATTCCTTTTTGCTTCCTTTATTTATCTTCCTGGATGCGGCTCTTAATCTTTTTTAGTTGATTCTATTTTCAAATGTGTTGTATTTTTTTTTTCTTCGTTTATTAAATGCTTTGTTTTTCATAATCCTTGCTTCTTGACATTGTGAATTCCACCATGGCACAACTTTGTTGCTAAATTTGATTTTTACTTTCCCCATTGATGTTTCTCCAGCTTCATTAAGAATTTCTACGAAATTTTCAATTTGGCTATTTATCGTTATATGAGTTGTTTCGTTTATTGTTATAGGAGTTGTTTCGTTTACCGTTATATGAGTTGTTTCGTTTATCGTTATATGAGTTGTTTCGTTAACAGTTGGGAGTTATTTGATCCTAGCGTTTACGATTTTGCGGAAGATTTCCCCGGTTTGCTTTTTTTAGGTTTCCATTTTGGCATCGTATAAGAATTGAGTGTCCTGTGAGTCTCTTCCGGAGAATAAATTTTGATGGGGTAATAGTCGCTATCATGTAGTTCAATTAAGGTATCCCATGTGAGTTTTCTGGCTATTTGGGCACTGCATATGGCTAAATCAATTGCACTGAAGGATTCAGTGGCTTTACATATATGGGTGGGTTTACCTAAGTTCAGGAGAGAGGTTTGTATTGTCAAGCAGTTTTTCAATTATTTTTCCTCTCGGGCATTTCATTTTAGATCCCCATATAGTATTACATGCGTTAAAATCACCCAAGATAATGTGAGGTTGAGGTAGTTGTTGTTTTAGTGATTTAATTTCTTGATATATTATTTCGTAACTATTAGTCATTGCGTATGGTGATTGGCGAAGGGCGGGAAATTGTAATTGCAATTGCTTCGATGTTAGTATTTAGTTGGACTTCATTAAACTGTGTATGATCATTTATCTATATCGTTACACCACCACTTGCGTAGTTGTTTCTGTTTCGTATTCTTGATAGTTTATCAACATTTTTAATAGTCCCATGGTTCTGTTTTTTAAAGTTGGTTTCTTGAAGACATATGATTTCTGGTTGATGCTCTTTAATAATTAGTTGGAGTTCTTCTCGGTGGGGGAAGAACCCGTTTATATTCCATTGGATGATTCGGGTCATTTTATTGTGTGCGTTCTACAAGTACTGGGTTAAAGTGACTTCATCTAGTTTCCTGTAAGTTTCGGGACTTGGATTGACACGTTTTAATTTTGGGTTCTTCTCGCGGTTGAGTTTTTCTTTGATTTTGTTAATTATTCCTGTGCATTTATTTTTAATTCTGTTTTCGGTTAGATGAGGACTTGGTCTATCATGTCATTTATGTCCACAATACTATCGGTCAATTCTGATGCGACTTGAATGGTATTCGCTCCTTGGCAATTTTTAATTAGACTTTTAAATTGTGTGTAAGTGAGGGGAAGTTTGTGGGTGGATTCATCGATATATGATTTGGCTAGGGATAGTAAATCGTCGATAGTGGGACCTTTATTTTCTTTAGTTATACCTTTTTTTCTTTTTGGTGGAATCGCGGACATCTTTAGAGTTAGATTCTTGATTGTTATTTTGCTGAGATAGTGAAACGTGACTAGTTAGTCTCATTCGTAGTTTTACTTGAGCTACCGGATTCAGAAAGTGGCCTTTTGTATCTGAAGGTAACGTTCTCGTAGCACATTTCGGCGACGTTGTTGATTTTTCAGATACTGTGACTTGTGTATCCATTTGTTCATCGGGTTCCTATGTATTGATGTCATGTTGTGGTAGCGAATCGGAGAGGAATAAAGTTATATTTTCAGTAGTCTCGGATATAGTTTTAAATTCTAAATTATTCTTAACTGTTATTTCATTACTTGTAGAGGTTATTAAGTTCGCTGGTTCATCAGTGTCTTTTGTAATTCCACACTAACGGGCAAGATGTCCCTTTTCCTTGCATACAAAACAAGTGGCTGATTCAGTTGCAAGAAATATGCGATACAATGTTTCCTCATGGTTCAGTAGGATTATTTCGAGTATTTTATCAATGTCGTTAACATTTACAAAGAATTGTTGTCGGAAGCTGAGGTTGTTTAATTTGTTTACGATTAGTTCATTTGGAATAATTGGGGAGACGTTGAACACAATTATTCTTTTAAATATAGTCATTAATTGTCTCGTTTCTAATGAGTGGTTGTTGATCACTATTTTTTGGTGTTTGCCTGTAAGGTCTTCGACGATGTTTTTGCTTTATAAGAATACACAAATTCCTTGATTGGCGATTTTTTATGCGAATCTTATTTCAGTAGGGTTAACTAGGGTTCCGAGTTTGGTGATATGGTCTTTGATTGTTAATCCTTCCCTAGCTTCGATGATAATTGCTTGATCTTTTGTGGGATTGGATTCATTCGAGGCAACTATTGCGCATGTTTTTGAAGTTGAACTGATACCTTTAGGCTGAATTTTGTCAATCGGTTGAAAACTGTTTTGGTTCAGTATTGTCAAGTATAGTTCCATTTTTGAGATAGGGGTGCAGAAACACCCCTACTCTTCTTCGCAGTTTATTTTGCAGATAATTAATATGGAACGGTTACTATCAACGTTTGTATACACTAAATATCAGAGGGGAATCACTCGCGACCTCCCGCTGTCACTTAGTCAGGGACAACAGCTTGGATTGACAGGTATATCAAGACTGACAGGAGATTTCTGTTTTAAGGGAAAACAGAGAATTCACGCGATCTCACGAAATCGGAGAATTACCAACCGTTAACCTATTTCGGAAAAAATTTCAAAATCCACGTCGATTTACTTCGCTATGCTGGGTGAAACGGTTTCGGGAAACGTTTGACGTAAAGATTTTTAATAGTTAGGTCATCTCATTTTCAAGGTTTCGAGAGTAATTACTGAAAAATTCTGTCACAGAACCTTGTAAGAAAATTTATGTCACGTAAGAGTTTCGCGTTGAAGTAGACTATTAACAAACTCGCTAATATGGGTTAACTAAAGCGTTAAAGATAACATTTAATTAAGTCCATACACACTCAATTCTGCGCATAAACAAAACGTGGAAAAATCGTAATAACGACGCTCTCTGAACCATCTGGTGACTCGGTTGACATCTTTTCCGTGACACCAACGATGACATTAGACGTCTTTATCCGGGAATTAATTCAAGATGCAATTTAAAGATTTTGCAGAATCTTAACGAGCGTAAAAGTGGTTTCCCAACATTTCTATTAAGGAAATTCCAAGGAAATTTACTTCCTGTAAGTATTTCACCTAAGGGAGTTGATAGCAATTCGGTTATTATAAATTTTGTAAATCGATTAAAAATAACATTTTATTAAATCCATTATGCGCGTAACTCTGGGCCTAAACAAATCGGAGAAAAATCGGAAAATCGACGCTTTTGGAACCATCTGATTTTACGTATTTAAATAAAATATTTTTGGATACATATCTTTTTAATATATATATATTTCCCTGTGCGTTTAAACATCTCTATCCGCAGATCTGTTCGAAACTCGATAGAAAAATTTTGCAATATCTCAAAAGGTATAAAAATCCCTCAACGTTTTTAGCAGAGCACTTAGCAAGGAAATTTACGTCCCATAAGGGTTTTTCCAAAGAGAACCGATAATGTAGGTTATGTAAATCGATTAAAGATAATATTTAATTAAGTCCATTATAAACTCCGTCCCGTGCATAAACAAAGGGAGGAAAAAGGATGGTAGTAAAGACACTCTGTGAACCATCTGGTGACTCGATGGACGTTTTTCAAGTTACGATACTGGCAGTGACGTCAGTTGTCTTTCGCTGTGGATTTGTCTGGAACTCAATCAAGACCGTCCCAGGCTCTGATAATACCCCGAGACATCGTGACGTTGATGTAATGCTTACCGAAATTGCTGTCAATTCCCTACTCGATATACAAAAATTCTCGCCCTCGTCGAAACCACCCAAGCTGCAGAGCACGTTTATAAATCTTGAAAATGTGTTATCAGTTCAGAGAAAAAAAAAAAAAACAAGCGCGCGATTACTCGAGCTCGGAAATTCGCAGCTGTCAACATGTCCGAGGCGACATGTCAAAGTCCGCGTCGATCTTTTTCGGTGCTCGATAATTCATTCGAATTTTCGATCTCGTCACGAACTTCCATGTAACGCTTTCTGTTTCATTGATTTTTCTCGTTTTTAATTCGTCCAAAATCCCTAGCCTTTTTAATTGTTAATGCTCGTGGTTAACGATTGTAGTAAAATTTGTGGAGGTCAATTTGTTATATAAAAATTGAGCGGGTTGAATCCTTTCGAAATAATCATTATCCCGTCACTGTTGAATTTTAGAATGGACATTGAAAAACGGAACTAACAGCATGTAATCATG